AAGTATTTGAAAACTGAACGAATGAAAGTCAGTTGTTCTGATTAATATTTAATTAAAGGGGCCCAAAAGACGTATTACGGAACAGGCCATGGAGGTGTAACATTTAGCGTTAACACCCCTCCAACCCGTCCATTGAAAATAACGTTCCACAATAAACATGTGCCCATAGAGGGCCGACGGGTGGAATTCAAGTAGAATAAGGAGTGGAATAAAATTTGGGCATGTAACTCGGGTCGATCAAACTAAATATTAGCTATGGTGGCGACTGTAAGCACGAAGCTCGGCACTTAGAGCGTTACCGGCAAAACAAAAATAACCCAGACACGACGTTACATTTCCTTGGGATAACTCTATTGCATGCGGCATATTTATCAATAAAAGCTGATATCTACAATAGTATGCAGTAAAATGCACTAGAAATGTCAATTACAAGCGAATAAAAGAATTTTAAAATTGTGCATAATATACATAACAAAAAGCGACAAGTTGGTACATGAATGTTATGTACGTCATGCCGTTTGGTAGAGCAATTAGATTAGTGGTCAGGTTAAGTTACTACACGCTTCATGTCACATGACCCCGCCTTCTTGCTGTCTGCTCATTACACGGGGAAGGTGGTCAATGTTCACTGTAATGTCCCATGTGTTGAGTACTGAACCTGAGCACGGACCCGTCAATCAAAGACGGTGTTTCAAACTGAATTGATTCTATTATAAAACAGGGTGAAGCCCCATCAATCAGATCTAACAGTTATTGTGACAGTTAGAGCTACTAGTCTGACTAACTTTACTTGTAAATTACAATAAGAATGACGACATTTATACCTGGTCCGCTCAGGCCAAATGTATTTTTTGTTCCAGGTGGCGCTGTGTGTGTTTAAGTAATGACCGTAGTTTGTTCAGACCACGATCGAGTGTTTTTTTTTTAGGCTTTAAACTAGAAGTGGGGGAAAAACTCTACTGACAGGGATAAGGTCAGGATAAACAAAAGGTGCTCACACTGTACATGTGGGGTGCAAGAGAAACCCAAGGTAGGAGGAAATAAAAAGCATGTATATGGTTACACCAAATACGGGTAACACAAGCTGTAATAAGCTGGAGCTGTGGACACACACAGACATCCGACACTACTTCTACAAGAATAAATCACCCAACCTCGATTATAGGTGCATTTTTTTTGTTATATGTTACGCAGTTTAGGAGACAAAATAATATTTATATTACATTGGATCTTGTTTTAAAATCCACGAAATGCGACTCTGAAAACAATAATTTTACAACAATCCCAACTGGCAAACAAACGTTGCAGCAGAAAAGAAGGCCGGGCGGCATGAAATGCGAGGACATTCTAGAAAGTCATACTGTATTCCCCGTGACTCCATAAAGCCCGTCTATAAGTATGGAAGCGTGGTGTATTATGTAACAAAAGTAAACGCGCTTTTATAATGCCGCCTATTATACGTATTTCAACTGAAGGAAAGTATAAAGAAAGCATGCTTGACCTAGATAGGTGAATAATTCAAGCTACTTGCGCGTGTTCTATAGGAAGTCATCTCTTATGATAAGTACACGGCAATTCGAGAGTAAAAGCACTTAGGAACATAACAAAAAGTATCATTAATTAATAATTCCATGAGAAAGTTTTAACGTTGCCACATGAGCGGTCTTAACTTTGGTGCTTAAACCTTTACTGACAACTTCACAAAGAACCATTTTCAACAATGTGACTACATACATTACAACAGGGACGTTGTTCTAAAAAAAATCTATATATATACCCCAAGAAACGATGCATTACAGTTAATACAGGCCTATGCTTATATACCAAACCTTTAAATTCACAAAATTCCAAGTGTCCACCTAAGGGGTAGCACACAGACAAGTAGCTAGGTAAGCTATATATGTAAGGTATCACACAGAAAAGTAGCTAGGTAAGCTATATATGTAAGGTAGCACAGAGACAAGTAGCTAGGTAAGCTATATATGTAAGGTATCACACAGAAAAGTAGCTAGGTAAGCTATATATGTAAGGTAGCACAGAGATAAGTAGCTAGGTAAGCTATATATGTAAGGTATCACACAGAAAAGTAGCTAGGTAAGCTATATATGTAAGGTAGCACACAGACAAGTAGCTAGGTAAGCTATATATGTAAGGTAGCACAGAGATAAGTAGCTAGGTAAGCTATTATATGTAAGGTAGCACACAGACAAGTAGCTATGTAAGCTATATATGTAAGGTAGCACAGAGACAAGTAGCTAGGTAAGCTATATATGTAAGGTAGCACACAGACAAGTAACTAGGTAAGCTATATATGTAAGGTAGCACAGAGACAAGTAGCTAGGTAAGCTATATATGTAAGGTAGCACACAGACAAGTAGCTAGGTAAGCTATATATGTAAGGTAGCACACAGACAAGTAGCTAGGTAAGCTATATATGTAAGGTAGCACAGAGACAAGTAGCTTAGGTAAGCTAAATATGTAAGGTAGCACGTAGAGAAGTAGCTAGGTAAGCTATATATGTAAGGTAGCACCGAGATAAGTAGCTAGGTAAGCTATATATGTAAGGTAGAACACAGACAAGTAGCTAGGTAAGCTATATAATAATATATATGTAAGGCAGCACAGAGATAAGTAGCTAGGTAAGCTAAATATAGCACACAGACAAGAAACTACTAAACTATATATGTTAGAAGATGGTGATAGGTTAGAATAGGCATGAATGCAGCATCAATTGTGTTGCTTGAGGGACCTGAATACTGCTCAGAGGACAACAAGTGCATCCTGACACACAAAAACAGTTGCAGTAAAATACAAGAGAGCTCAACAAATAGTCTACATGTATTTGCATTAGGGGACAACAAGTGCATCCTGACACACAAAAACAGTTGCAGTAAAATACAAGAGAGCTCAACAAATAGTCTACATGTATTTGCATTAGGGGACAACAAGTGCATCCTGACACACAAAAACAGTTGCAGTAAAATACAAGAGAGCTCAACAAATAGTCTACATGTATTTGCATTAGGGGACAACAAGTGCATCCTGACACACAAAAACAGTTGCAGTAAAATACAAGAGAGCTCAACAAATAGTCTACATGTATTTGCATTAGGGGACAACAAGTGCATCCTGACACACAAAAACAGTTGCAGTAAAATACAAGAGAGCTCAACAAATAGTCTACATGTATCTGCAGATACATCAGCACTGAGTATGTATATGAACTTTGGTGCATAACTGTAATAAGTCACAAGTATATTTTGCAGATAATTTACAAGATACATTTTTTTTTACAGTTAGAACTAATAAAATGTTTCACCCTCTGACCCTTCATTTTGTTGGCTTATTTCAGAGAAATACATTTAGAAACTAAATGTAATTATAAGAAAATAAACATTTGTTAAAATACAAATGTACTGTCTCTGCTCACTTTTTAATAAGAAACTTTCAGCTACATTTGATTTACATTTTATTGAATACAATTCGCTGAATAGAATAAAATAAAAAAGAACACAATCACAGAAAACATTTATAAATTTGTTAAATCCTGCAACTACAAGTTGAATTTGTAAAAAAATCTAACAGATCAAAGTAACTGCTTTTGAAGCTAGTCTATGATGAGTCATGTTCGGTTGATATTTGTTAGCAAAATTTAAAATAATAGTGTAACCTCCCTTAAATTATTTATTTAATAACCAGCTTTCTATAGGTCAAATCAAAATAAATATTAAATTACAAAATGAGGCTAAATTTAAATTACCTAGCTTAAACCATACTACTATAGTAGTTTTTTTCGTTAATATATGAACTTAATATTTAACCTAATGGAGATATTTTTAGCTTATGTGGTTCTTGAATTCAAATTTATTTTCTTTTTCATAAACTAGGGCCTATCAAAATTCTTATTTTAAAAAGTTTAAAACTGCTGCTTTTGCAATGTTACAAAATGATATAATATAAGGGGTCATCCATTTATGACGTCCACAATTTTTTAATATTTTGGACACCCCCCCCCCCCCCCCCCCCCACAAAAATCCACTTTTTTTCCGTATACAAGTCCATATGCGTCCACAAAAGTCAGTTTTTTTTTGGACAACCCCCCCCCCCCCCCCCGCATGTGGACGTCATAAATGGATGACCCCTAAGCATTTTTGAACAGCTTCTATTATTTAAATTACTGTCTTGAAACTAGTCTTAATTGTTGCAGAGGAGGGCAGAGTGTTTTAGCAGTTGCACACAATTGTCCCATATACAAAAACAATTTCAGCATTTATATTGTTTTACTTTTTAATAAGGCTCCAACTAAAGTCAACCTTTTTCTCAAAAATAAAAAAAATGGTGTCCACTTAAGCGTGAAATTCAATATCTAGAATATCTTTTGTTAGTTAAGTAGCGGATTTAATATTCCAAAATTACTTCTAGGGGACAATAAACTGCAATTCCTAAACTAAATTTTAAGTGACTAGTCTATTTTATAGTTTTAGTGAGTAGATCAATAGTGGGCCAATTAATTAGTACTTTAATAAATAGGCCAAATTTAAATTAAGCTTTAACTTTATGATTTATGCCTAGCCTAAAAATTCAAATAATAGCAGTTTAGTTAGTGCATCCATTTCAACCTTCCAAAAAATAAAATGCTTTCATGGTTTACTAGGCTATTCTATTTCTATCAGCCTGGGAGAGAAGTGCTGAATGAGTGGAGTGAATGGATCAATACTATAGCATTCCAGAACGAGGATGCAATGACATCATTCAAGGGAGCTAGTCCAACATTATTATCAATCACAAATCAGTCACATGAAACTTACTATATTCATGCCCTTATATTTGGTTTAAGTGTCTTTAAAATATGGTCAATGAATGACTTTAAAAACAGAAACAATAGTAAATAGTGTGAGTATGACATATCCAGTTATACAAACAATAAAGATATTTTTTTGGCAAAGAAATTAATCAACTCCACAGACAGAAAATTGGGTAAATTTGAAAATGTATCCTACCTGTGGTGTTGTTTGCTGCAGTTGTTTTTGCATAATTTCTCTATCTTTATTTGATTCTAAAAGTTTCGCCTCTGTTAATTCCAATGCTTCCTGTTTCTCTCGCAGACTTTCCATCAACTTATCCCTTTCATCCAACATGTTTACCATCAATTGTTCAAAATTAGAATCATCCCCTGAACCTTGGGACTCTCTATCGTTTGAACCATCTTCAGAGATGGTGGGCATCACGTCGCACATCATTTTGGATGGCTTTTATGTGCACAATATTCTATGTAAATAAATTTCCTCTACCTCGTGACGGTATTTTATTTTAGCATTAAAATAATGATAAACTGCTACACATTCGCTTCACATAATAAATCGGATCCACTCGTAGAACACACCGGTTCATAGGCATGATGATGTGAAGTAAATCAGATATTCTTTAGACCATGTCTTTATATGGTTGTAATTATCCTCGTTAACCTGGTCTATCCAAGGAATTTTCTGATCCATTGTGTTTTAATTTAATATATGTGACGTAATTTAATTAAACACAGTCTCAACCTCCCGATCTGGAAAGGGAGGCCATTTTCTTTGAAGAAAGTGTGTCATACCCATAATGCACTTGTTATGTCGAAGTAACTCTACGAGATTTTCTATTAGGGGGCGTAGACCAGAAAGAAAGCAAATTTACTAAAATAAACACATTAAGTTTATGCTATGATAATCCCCAATCACAATAAACTATCTTTACTCAAAGATAAGCAGATCTAAGATGTTCACCAACTTTGTGGCCAATTCAATTAAGGTTAAAAATCATTATACTAGGCCTAGTCGATGCACATTGAAGACCAATCGCCATTCCGAATCCTAATCACGCAAAATTTTATGAAATTAGCTCCCGAAAAAAAGAATGTTGAATACAATGAATAGGCTATATTATATATATATATATATATATATATATATATATATATATATATATATATATATATATATACATATATATATAGATGGTCGCTGGGACTTTTTGCCTCCAAATTCGTGGACTTGTAAAAATGCTAAAACGTTCTTAGTCTGCTAAAAGTCCCGTTTAAAATTAGATTATATAATCCTGATTTGTGCTTGACCATGGGGAAAATGGCTGCATTTAACATTGATATCTTTATCATAAAAATGAGAAATAATATTGAAACAATAGGTATGTATAATTCACACATAAAACTTTTTTAAAAAGTTGCCCTGGGGGCTATCTATCAATGATTTCACGCTGTTTGACGATTCAAATCCCTCTTCTTCCCGTAACAAAATTTCAGACTCCCCCACCCGAAAAAAGTCTACAGCCCCCCTCCCCGAACAAAATGGAATTTATATAGAAAACACATACTTTTATCGCCCCCTCCCCCAGGAAAAATGTGTTCGCCCCCTCCCAAATATCAATTGCCCCCCTCCCCCCGGAGAAAAAAAAAACGGGAAGAAACACTGTCACCCACTCGTCACAGAGATGTGCTATGGTGCTGGAAAAAAAATCACTCTATTTCATTAATAAATTCGTTTTGTTTGGTTAACTTCGTGAGGCACACGTAGTTAAAGTCGGTTAAAGCGTACCATGGTAAAACAGTTTAAAAAAGGACCCGTGGTACTGATTCCCCGACCTGGTAGATATACTATAGGCCTAGTACTATATATATATATATATATATATATATATATATATATATATATATATATATATATATATATTTCTCTTCTTGGAGACCCTAGAAAACACCAAGCTGTAAGCGCGCTCCCTACCACCCCCACCCCTACATGGTCTGGTGAGCTGTGGTTCACGCTAAATGTTTACAATCGTAGAGCCGGGTTTAGTGATGGCTATTAGGGGCAGATAATTTAGTTTGAAACCTTTTTAAACTTAGGGGAGGTAACTAAGAGAGGCTGCTTTCACGGGGGTGGGGGTGGAGTGGGTGGGGGGTTGGGGTTGGGGAAATTGGGGGGGGGGGGGGTTTATCGTCCTTAACGAGTTACTGATAGTGTTTCAAAGCAAATATATTTAGTGGCAGCATTGGTACTGTCGAATTCACAAATTATGACTAACTGAAAAGTAGAAAATAAAACAACTAAATAGCGGCGTATAGTACGCCGCGGGTCGGCTCGTTATCAATATTTATAATAATGCGCCTTTTAAGTTTGGACTAGTTTTAGGCCTTTAAAGTTTGGACTAGTTTTAGACATAGTTTTTACACCTTTACCTCTTCCCATTTCCGATCATTTTATTTTTTCTTCATGAAGATCTATATCGCTGTAAAAATTTTATTATTTTTATACACACATTTTTTTTCGAAATCATCGATAGGTTTTTGCAACATTGTTTTCAGAAGATGGGCAACAACTACAAAAATGACTAAAGATGTCAAAAAGCAATTGTCCTACTGAGATGGTGTTTGTGGTCACAGAGGCGTCGCGAGGCGGGGCGGGGGGTACGGACCGCACCGGGTGACACCACTTAGGGGGTGACACCATGGCGAAAAATTGCTAAATAAATAGAAGAAAATTCTTTATGCCAGTTCAATTATGATTAATGGTCGTTAACTGTAGTAATAGCCGACTATAGAACATCCTTAATATTAGCTGTGCACACTTTAAAACTATCACCCGGTGGGGGGGGGGGGGGGGTTGTGATGACACCAACTGCAAAATTTAGAGAAGAATAAAGGCTTGTTGAGTATTTTGAAAACGCACAGCGCCATTAGGCAAAATCAGAAGGGTATGTCATCAATTGCAAATGTATATGTAGGCCTATGTAGACCTTTATGTGTATGTATATATATATATATATATATATATATATATATATATATATATATATATATATATATATATATATATATATATATATATATATATGTAGCATAGGTTTTTCCTGGGGAGGGGTGACACCATGACGTCCCGCACCGGGTGACACTCGACCTCGCGACGCCACTGTGTGATCATATTGAAGAAATGCACCACATTGGAACATTGCTAATCAACATCTTTATTCCAACGACGTAGGGAAAGTTCTACCCTTCCCGAAATTCAAGTTTGCCAAAATTCTTTTTAAAAAAGTAGTCTAAACTTTCAACAAAAAAAAAGCACTTTTTCTTTAAATTTAAAATATCGCGCACCCAACAGGTCTTTTTGCTACGATAAGTTTACCTAAAACTTAAAACTTCCTATGACTTAACTTAGCTCATCGCAACAAACATTTAGACCTTTATTCGGCATTTAAAAACAGTTAAACAGGTGATAGTAAATAAACAAATGCAACCCGTTGCCCACCATAATTTTTTTTCTCTTATCGACATTGGACGTGTAGGCCTACGTGTATCGTACAAGATATGCGATCGAGTCAGCCTAACTAGGTCCACACCGTAAACATTCGCTAAACATGCAACTGTATTTTTATATGTTTGAAAGTGAAGTATGGATCTACGTTTGGTTTTTAATATTACTGACATTTTCCCCACACAATTTAAATTACGTTACTGTATTGAAACAGCTGACATACTCAATTTTTCGATCTTTTTGGACAGTAAATCACTAAGCCTATATAAGATATATTTTAAAAAAAAAATCAATTCATCCATTCAGTAGGAAAAAACATTTCAAGCCCTTCTTTTTGGGGGTCGTCCATAAATGACATCACACTAGTAGGGGAGAAGGGGTCCGTAATTTTGCGACGGAGTGTGATGAGGGGGAGATGGGGGGGGGGGCGGGTGTCAAAATGGTGTGACGTCACACGTTTGCATTATAAAAAAAATCAATGTTAGAAAACGAATTTTAGCCGTTAGGGGTCATCCATAAATGACGTCACGCTTTTTTTGATGATTTTTACCCCCCCCCCCTTCGTTACAAAAAGCCAGACCCCCCCCCCCCCCTAAAATGACGTCACACCTTAGCCTACAAACCCCCTCAAAATTGCAGTTGAATTTTTCTTAAAACATCGATATTTTTCTAAAATCTTGTCTGAACTCTATCAAAATAGAGTATTTTAATCAATTTCTGTTACAATTCATTAAAACAGTTTTCCAAAAAAGGCGAAATAACGTCTAAAATTCGTTTTCTAACATTGCTTTTTTATAATGCAAAAGTACGACGTCGCACCATCTGAACATCCCCCTCATCACACACCGTCACAAAATTACTGACCCCCCCTCCCCCCTACGAGTGTGACGTCATTTATGGACGACCCCTTATTTCGCGTTTTTGTTTTAATAAATTGTAATAGGAATTGATTAAAAAAAACTCGTATTTTAATTTTAAGAAAAATTCAACTGCCATTTTGAGGGAGGGGGCGTGTAGGCTGATCGGTGTGACGTCATTTTAGGGGGGGGGTCTGGCTTTTTGTGACGATGTGTAACGGAGGGGAGGGGGGAGGGGTAAAATCGTCAAAAAAGTGTGACGTCATTTATGGATGCCCCCTTTCTTCTACTTCTTCTTTTACTACTAGATCTAGATCTATTTATTCTTCATTTTCTTCTTCTTCTTTCATCTCCTCCTTATTTGTTCTTTGTGGTTATATAATGGCGGGGATTTTCTCCAACACAATTAAGCATTACGCGTCAATATGTTATGCGCCGTATTGCCTGTTGACTCGAACTTTAGACTGCTGTTCTTTCTGGACTGCTTTCAGGGCCTTTGTTTAAAAACGAATAATCTGCAAGGCAGCAGTTGTTTGATTTTGGAGTTTTCTCTCCAAGATGGGTTGCCGTCCTTATCTACCCAGCCAATCTGTCCGGGCTTTCATACTCTAGTTAATACTAGCAGTGGCGTCGCTAGGTCGGGTGTCACCCGGTGCGGTACCTAATCTACTCTATAAACCGCTTTTTTTTTCCTTGTCACTAGACCTAATTGACATTAGTCTATGTAGAATAACCTATGGCATAGGTCCTATGTAATGGTTTAATGTTTGCTCGAATACTCAGGTTTATTGCCTGGGGGTAACATATTTATTTAAGTAAGCCTATAAATTAGGAATATTATTATGCCTTACTTTTAGATTTTTACCGTATTTTTTTAAGTTACCGAAAATATCCGGTGACATCGTCACTTCAAGATGGAGTCAGATGTGTATTGCAGTGTTGTCACTTTCGGTTTCAACCAATTTAATTTTAATATCATGGATTTAATGTTCTGTTTATTATAAATCTGATAAATGACGCTGCTTACAAGAAAAGATAATTACATTCTCATAAAATGCCTAAGGACGGCAAGAAAGGGAAAAGAAGACAAAACTTTTGTAGTTCAGGTGCGCAGTGTTACGTTTAAAAAAAATATTAGATCTAGATTTTCTAAATTAAGTTAGTTAGACCAGTCAGTTAGAGTTAGTTAGGCCGAGCCTAGCTCTAGCTTAGTAGCTTAGCACTAGCGTAGCTAGCTAGTGAGTTATAGAGTAGATTGTCGTGTCTAGATCTAAATCTTGAATCTAGGCTTTAGACATAATGTTTACTTTTTAGGCCCTGGAGTCTGGAACTATTTTTAATTTTTATTTAACTTTTGTCTTTTAGGACCGGCATTAAGATTAAAAGTAACAACCTGGGTTTTTTCTTTTTAAATTCTTATCTAGATCTAGATATAGATCTAGATATAGATTCATCTAGATTTAAGAAATCTAGATCTAGTAATCTAGTTGCCTTGCCTTAGTAAACCGCAAAGATATAGGCTTAGATCTAGAATTTATATAAAAAATAGGCTAATAAAATTTAAAAATAGACCAAGAGTCTTATCTTTAAAAAAAAGTTTAAATTTAGTAACTTTGTCATTTTCTCCCAATCTCATGGCAGAGTCCAGTAGGTTGATTTTAGATCTAAAAATCTAGATCTAGAAGTTTTAACTTGACATAGAATCTATATATTATTATTAATATATAGCCTAGGCCTATAACACCAGATTTCATTAGTTTAGTAATAAATGTATGACATGATACATTTTTAATTGACATTTAAAATTTAAATAGATCTATTACTACTATTAAGATATAGGCCTATATATATACATATACATATACATATACATATACATATACATATACATATACATATACATATACATATACATATACATATACATATACATATACATATACATATACATATACATATACATATACATATACATATACATATACATATACATATACATATACATATACATATACATATACATATACATATACATATACATATACATATACATATACATATACATATACATATACATATACATATACATATACATATACATATACATATACATATACATATACATATACATATACATATACATATACATATACATATACATATACATATACATATACATATACATATACATATACATATACATATACATATACATATACATATACATATACATATACATATACATATACATATACATATATGTATATAGCCTATATATTCTTTTCAATCATTAGGATCCATTTACTGTGAGTACTTTATGCAACTTATTACTTATTTAATTTTATCTAATTGTTTCCTTTTGTTTGAAACATGTTTTTAGATATCACACTTCATGACTTTGCTGATGCTCATTTACCTCAGTCTTGTGGACGCCTCAAGAAATCTCTTGCAACTGCCACTGGCCCGGGAGGTTGGTTTTATATTTTTATCTTTATCCATCCAATGTTGCCTATTTATTGTAGACTTGTGAAAACTAATAATATTTTCATTTCCTTCTCAGCAATTCCAAAAACAGTTAGTGCACAAAAACTTGTAGAGCGGGAGGAAGCTGAAGCTTTAAGCTGGTTTGAGAAAGATCTTGAGGATTTTGTAATTGATGATGTGACAGAAGAAGAGCATGAGGAACAAAACATTAATGGAGGTAAAACCATATCTTAAATTTCATTAAAATATAATTCATTTATTACATCATGATTAAGATAATAAACCTTTTTAATTCCAATTCTTTATTGATTATATTAGTCCTAAAATTTTCAAAGTACTGTACCATATTTAAGTTCTATATTTATTATTATGTTACTGAGTTTATAAATATGGCAAAGTAATTAATTTGTTTTGTTTGTTTTCATGGCACTGAAACAGCTTCTGCTTAATCTTGCTAATCCCCATGAAAAAGTAAATCTTGCAGAAGAGTTCATAATATTTTATTATCTCATAATCACACATCATCCACATATCTACTAAATTCCTATTGTAAAAAAAAAGCATATCTGCCTGAATATATATATACATATTTTGTTTTTGATAGTTCCTGAGATCTTTATTTTTTAAACTTTTCCTTGCCTATGCATATTTTTACAAACACTTCTGTTAAATATTATAAACTGTAATGATTAAGATAAGTATGAAAAGCTAAAATTGTGATTTTTAGGGTTTAATTTTTTAAACTTTACAGCAGCACCTTTGACATCCAAAGACAATAGAAAAAAAAAGAAGACAACATACACAGGTGGAAAAGTTTACCCTCTAGATTTATGGCACTTGATTGGCAACTTTGTCCACCCAGATGATGTACAGAGGTTTGCTGGGATATGTCAAGGGGCTCGTTCAGTCACACACACAGCAGCTTTCTGGAGAAAGCTTTATGAGAGGTTAATTGACGTTTTTTAGGCTCTATGGGAGGTTAATTGAATTTTTTAGTCATTCAATTTTAATTAGATTACACAATTTGCTTATCACTGTTTTATATTATATAGTTACAATCTGCAGCGTACTAATACTGAAGTTAAGAAAATCAAAAGATAAATCATTGTAATATAAAATTCTTTAAGCTATTAAAACAAAAGATTTTCAACTGCTTGTAGTAATAAGTGATTATCAATATTGAAATTATCTGTAGTTAACTGTTGTAGCCTTTAATATAAACATTTCTTCAAAATAATTAGCTAAATAAATTTAAATGTTGGTAATTGTTTTAAACTTTTGCAATAATGTATTAAATGATTATGCAGGTACTATAGCAAAGGTAAAGAAGGATTGCCTGATGCTGTTAAACCACATAGCATGGAAAAGTTGCATGGACTGCGAGCTAGAGTAATTAGAGCAATGTTTTATCTCTACCCTCCATTAATATCAACAGTACAAATAAAGGGACCAATGGAAGATGAACCTTATTCTCTTAAAGGTTAGCCAATAGCTTTAAATACATTAAGTAATATCTGTTGATATTTGCGGTTCAAAGCTTAGTTATTTTTGTTATGTTTCACAACAGGTCATCGATGTCTTTTAGCATGGCATCAACCTGCACCAAAAGGCTGGCTTTTTTGTTTCAAGTTTCAAAAACCATCCTTTCAATCTTTAACCAGCAGACCATCAAGCAAAATAGACTTATACCATGGTCAGTATTTAGAAAAACAATCAAAGATCTCTTTGATGAAGTCAATCACATAAGTAATTTAATTTGTCATTTAGCATGTCTTTTTAGTTGTATAACAAAAAGTAAGCTTGAGTTTGATAAAAAATATCTTTAAAGGGAAGTAATCAAAACATTTGCAATTAAATTAAGGTTTGTAATACACCATTATGAATTTGTGTTGCATAGGTTTCAATGATTTGTTTTACAACCCTGAAGAAGGGTGCTCAGTATTGCAAGTCACCTGCTGCCATTTTGCTTCTATATCCACTGTCATGGGTCTACTACTTAACCAGGTAAATTCATATTTAGTTTTCAAGTGTTTTATAGTACTATATTTTGATTTTTGTTCTCACTTAATAAATTTTAAGACTGATTGTATACTTATCATCATTGTATACATTAGTTTTACAGTTCTTTGTGTTTTTTGATTCGTTGACACAGGTATACATAACACTTAGCACAGGATTTCACCATCACCGTTTGAGGCTCCACTTTGACTCAAGGATAACTACAAACAATCACGCAGCTTCAGAAATGGTTGTAGTTCTTGATGATGTTATATCTATTAAGTTGGTTCAGTGGTGGTACCCTGGCTATCCATTCACCAATTGATGATGGCTGCTTTTAGTGTATTCAAAGCTTTTTTTTAAATAAATTATTTTACTCCTGGGTAATTGGTCACTTCAAAAACACCCTTTGTGCTGTTATTTCAAAATAAGCAATGTTAATTACTACTCAGTTTTAATTTTTATCTAAAATTTTAGAAGTCATTTAAAAAATTTCAGCTAATTCATAATGTTTATGTTGTTTTTGTGTAATTTTTAACAATTGTCTATATTCTATTCCCAATGACTGCTAGAACTGATTACTTATGAAGGGGTTGTGATTTCAATAATTCATTTATATAAACTTTAAACAGTTTGTAAAAATGTAGTCTAAGGAAGCGTTTTCAAGAAAAGTTATTTTTGATACATTTAGCTATATTAAATTTTTTTTTTTAATTTTACATATTACAAAAATGGAATATCCAATCATCAAGAAACTAAAAAGAATGGTACATATATATTGGAACATGAATATCAAATCTTATATAGATGTAATCAACTTTTAAAAGTAAATTAGTCTAGAAATAGGTCTATTTATAAAATTACTGTTTACTATGTTAGAATAAATCATGTCATTTTACAAGTTTTAATTCAAACAAAATGTTAAACAGTCTTGGTTCAAATTGATTATTTTTACCTTAATAATCAATCAAAAGCTAGTCAGCTATATTCATTAAAATATATATTTATAATTTAGTAAGGTGAACATTAATTTTCAATTAAAATCTTTTAGTGAGATAAGTAATTTCATCTCTTCTTTCAAATACAAGCTAAATTGAGCTTTGATCTGATACTCTGTCTCAGTCTTATTCTTTAAGTTTAGATATTTGCATTTTATGATTTTCAATAATATTTTAACTGTCAATGTACTAATTACTGGTTACTGTGTTAGCATATTATAATGGTGTGTGTAGAGAACAATGAAAACACAAGAACTCAGTAATTTACAAGAGTGACAGTTCCTGTTCTCTGTAGCTATTCGGTGATACTAGTTAGTGTTACATTTTAAGAAGTAAAGTATAAATTAAACCAGAAAAGTATGGAAATGTCCTATAATGAATAAATATGTCTTAATAATATGAAGGGGAGAGAAATATTGAAAATGAAGCTTTTTGATATTAGTAGGGTGAAGTTAAAACATTCCACAGTAACAATAAAGTTATATTTATATGAGTATGTGTAATTGTAGGGATGATAGGTGAAATTTATATTCATTAGTGGTAAACTAAACAAGTTTATGTGTAAACAAAATATCCCATAAAATCATCCAAAGATTAATCTTGTGAGTTATGACTGTTTTAGGAACATTCATTTCTTAAAACAACTTTAATCATAAATCAACCAAAGGACCCCTCAAGCAAATTTTCAATATATATTATTTCATATTGAAATGAATTAGCTGATAATTTATTGATCTGAGTAGCTAACATCAAAGCATTTGATCAAAAGTTGTTTATTTTTGTGTAGTACAAAGATATTACATTTTATTACCTTAGAATAACAATTTCTATCAACCTACATAAAATGCATCTAGGGTAATGATTTGCCAAATAATGTGATGCAATTTTATGTATAACTCCCCCACCCTACAAAGTCAGGGAATATTGCTGTTAGAAGTAGTTTCAGCTGAGTGTAATAGATGTGCCACATATCAATTGCTTATTATAGAACTGGTAGTTAATATAAAATAAAAATGTTTGTCATTCACTGTATTGTTCTTTTTTTTTCCAAGCTCTTATTTAGTTGGCAACGGCTGTTGGTTTTTTTGTTGGTAGTTTATTTGTGGCAAATCTTGTAACTCAATTTTGACCCACTCCTAATGTTGCGATTTTGTTCAAACTTTCCAGATGTTCCACTTTGATGACAATACAAGTCTATCTATTAGATTTTAAATTTGTCATTAAAAATTAATTAAACAGCTTTGAAACTAAGGGGACATAACAAAATTATATCACTTGATAGATTACTATATTCAACAAACAGAAGGGGAGATAACTTGCTAGAGGCTGTTAACCAACCATTCCGGTGAGCTTTTACAATAGCAGAGATGTTCGATCTAGTGAGGGCTATTAGGAGCAGGTAATAAAGTTTTTAAACTATTTGAAACTAAAGGGGTAAAAAAAAAAAGCACTTGCTGTCGTCTGTAAAATATGGTCATAGACAGGTGCTTTCACGGGGCGTTTTAAAGCAAAATTTTTTAGTGTCGACTTCACAAATTAGGAATCACACATGAGATTTTAGCAACCTAAGCTTTTATGAAAGAAAGCAGATTAGTTTTATTTTCTTATTTTCAGTGCATTCAAAAGCTTGTTGCTATGAACGTTTTTTATGTTTTACTCTGAACCTTCATATAACAAAGTTTAACATTAATAAACTTTGAAAACCAATGTTGTTGAAATGTAAAATTAGTTGTCACACTTTTTACCTGTCCCTTACTCTATTACTACAAAAAAGAGAATGTATAAATTGTGGGCTTGTGCGTTGAAAGCTTTTGGATAGCAATTAAAGTAAGAAACTATAAAGTGCTTAAGTTAATAACAAGGTTCTAAAACAGCGTTTTTTCCCCTGGCTATCAGATTCTGGACTAGTTTTCTCATCTTCAGTGGAATTCAAGCCTAAGTTAATAGAATAGTTAGGAAACTTGTGTTAGTAATACATTACAGCTGAATGCATAAGATAAAACACAAGTAATGATTATAAAACAATTTATTTTTTACAAGCAAATGAAAAATTAATTTAACAAATGTCACATATCTCAGCAATTCTTAAAGATCTGCCAGATCACCAGTGGTGTAGACAGGGGCATGTTTGAATCCCCACCCCCAAAAATGAGAAGTCTCACAGCGATTCTCAGTGTCTTTATGTTGACCATTTTAAATTATCCTATGGCATGAAACAATTTTACAATCATTTAAAAAAAAAAGTTTATATCAAATAAATATATATATTTTAAAAAATGTAAAATTGTTTCATGTCATATATTTTGAAATATAATTTTATTAACACCCCTCTCACAACAAATTCCTGCTACGTCACTGTAGATTCAAATAGATTCTGTTAAACTCTAGCTAAGCAATTTTATACTAAACAGAGGATAAACAACACCGAATGCCACTATTAATTTAATCTAATAAATTACAACATTCTAACCAAACGCACAATCCTATCAGTACCGATCACAAGTACTCCCAATATATTTACATTAAATAAATGGAAATGTAGCAAACAGATATTGTAGCACTCCTCCAGGCAATCTATTCAGACATTTTTTTCTTTTTATTTAACACAATCAGAAGCTAGACTGACAGTTATACACAATTCTTACTATCAGATTACAGTTACAATGTTAAAATGTTCACCCATATTAAACAAAAGATACTCTTTGGCTAAACTAAACAAATTCTTCACAATAAATTAAAACTGGTAGGGCCTTTATGTATTTAAGTGTAAAAAATATATTCTTGACCAGTCAGTAAAAAATAAGTTAAAAAACTCGAAAATGTATTTTAAAAAATGACTTATTTACAGTAGTGAAAATTTATGACAAATGAATTGCGTTTGAAGGAAAGAACTATCAATGTCATATTCACAATGAATCTATTATGTTAGTTTAGTTTGTGGCAGCTTAGAAACAAGTTTGATGGAACAGTATAAGACCTCAATTTATGGTCTTGATATCACCATAATGTAGCAGTACATTAAATCACTTGTAATTTAGTAAAAAGTATTGTCTTCAATCAGCTGCCTGAATTGTTCAAAAAACACATTGGCTGTTTCATCATAAGCTCAGCTTGCAGAAATGAGCACACGGTTTAATGGATAACACTGTGGTATCCAGTTGAAAGTAGCCCTTTTCTGTACCAAGCTGCTATGATGCCATTTAAAGATTTTGTCTTCTGTGTTAACACAACCTTACAGTTCTAAAGCTTTAATTATTGCCTCCCGGTCCTTTAGTGCCTTACTGATGGCTTCTTTTTCTTTCTTTGTGGGAGACTTTTTCTTTTGTTTGGCAACCTGTATTTTCCTATAAGCTTCCATCACCTAGAGAGGAGAAAAATGTTGGATTGCATGTTGATCACATATCCTAATTACTTTCTAAGGTAACACATGCTAGAAAAAAATCATTTTATGTAAAGCCTGTTATCTTAATTTTAATGAAAAAAATTCTAAAATGGCTTCAACACCCACCCCCCCCCCCCTCCCCCCAAATAACACAGAAACAAACTATTGCTTATTTGTGAAGACTATTTTACCATATATCTACATAAGAGTAAACAATAACTGAAAGTTAATGTATACTTTTACGCTTTTAAAATTTACAATAATCATCATGCTTTAACAGCGTTATTTGTTTACCTCAGAATCTGCTGCCTGTAATTTCTTTCTAAGATCTTGTCGAGCCATATCTTCCTGTCCCTGACGATACAAGCTCTTTAATATATTTACATTTTGTTGACTGATTGCCCTGAGTTCTTGCTGCTTCTTTCTTAGTTCTGCTAAAACTTCATCATTTGGATCATCCTCTTCTTCTTCTTCCTTTTCTAAAATTCCTGCAAACAACATATGTTTAAAAACATAAACCAGGAAACTGCCCATAGAAATAGAGAAATTATTTTAAATATTCCTATGCATACCCTGCTCTTCCAACTCTTTGCGGATTCTTCTTTCCAGTGTTGCAGGGTTTCCAATGTTGAGCTGCTTAGCAAGCATGCGTGGTGAAATGGCTGGGGCTTCATCTGCACATTCTATCCATGAAAACAACATTTTTTTACATTAATTTGTTATAAAAATTAGCATTACTATAATGTAAGTATTATGATTGACAAATAAACAATGAGCATAACTAACCAGCCGTGTCTGCCATTGAATCATCCATTGGAGTCATTAAGTTGTCCTCAATAAGAGCAGACACTAACCTCTGAGTCAGGGGCCCAAAGGGGGAGTCATCCATACTGAAAACAAAACACGACTTTTACAGGTGGGTTTAAGCACTTGTTATATATTTTAAAAGTTTTATTACAATAACATAAATGTACTAGTAAGGTAATTCACTCACAAATAGTCATTCTTTTTAAACTCAGCCTTTTTAAGCATAGCAGTGGTCTCTGTATTTGTTGTAGCAGTAACTCCATTACTGGGCTGAACAGCAGGCTTCTTCTTTTCACTTATCCTTGATCCTAGAAGTAAATTTTTTACATTTTCATGGATCATTCTTTTAAATACTAAAGAGATAGTATCTAGTGATAGGTACATTGTTAAAAATGTGCTAAAAAACAACTCATAATTTAGTTACCAACTCTTCAATTCCAAAATTTGAAAAGGAAAGTAATTTAGATATATAATTTAATAAAGAATATAAATTAGAGACAAAAATAAAATATCATCAGCACTTCAAAGAAGCAGATAAAAAAAATCTATGTGACTACTCAAGTCAAAGTATTTGAGTAATCAATTTTACATTACTAGCGTGTCATGCAAACTTTACTTTTCCAGAATTAAGCCAGATACCCATCAACCATGAAGACTTTACTAAGAACCTGATACTCTGGGGGCTATTGAATGTTCAAAGATTTAGTCATATAATTAAAAGAAAAAATACCATCATTCTGCTCCTCCAAAAGATCTTCCTCTGCCCATCTCTGGGTGTAGTGTATTCCCAATGGTGGGATTTTCATGTATTCAGATTCCTCTTCATGGGCTTTTAACATCTCTTCAATGACACGTAGATCATCTGTAGTGATTGGAGCACAGTAGGGCTCCACTGATGCCCAAAACCTATTGACTGCATCATTCTTTGGAACCTTGGGTGTCTCAGATGCAGAAGGTCCATCAGAACCTGTTGGATCCTCTGACTGACCCTTAGACTGACCACACAAAAAACCCATTAATAATGTTAGTAATAAAAAAAGTTGTTTCAATATTTACAATACACAATACAATAAATACACAAGTATAAATGTTAGAAGTTTAAATAAGTTGTATTAAAAATACCTGTGAATTTTTTCCTTTGGTTCTTGACCCAGAATTCGGTGTTGATGGTTGTGAGGGTCGCCCGCTGGAATCCTTAAATTTTTTGCTGGACTGTCTTTCTCTTTCATCAGTTGGAGTGCCTTTTCTTTTTGTAGGAGTTGATGAACGGCTAGGTGTTTCTGACTGCAAAAGTAAAAGGTAGTATTAGACAAAATTTAACCTCCGATACGGATTATGCTAATTTAATATTAAATTCAAATAATAGTGTTTTATCTGTATGTTTATTTAATGGTAAAAAAAACAAACCCCTTTTCCTGTTGATCTTTTGCCATCTTTTTTGTCAGGCCAGGTAGCTAAGATGTTATTTTCAGAGCCCAATTGTTTTAACCTTTTCCCTACAGATGCCAACAAAATTTCAATGTCAGCTTGAATTTGGTCTAGTTCTTCTAGGCTGATGTGGCCATTCTCATCTCTAGAAACAACTGAAATGAAAAATAGCCGATAGAAAAAGAGTATTTTATTAAATTTTATTTTAAAGCCCTGAAGTAAGATTTAACAAATATAACGAGAAGCATAAACATACCTTGTGCATATTTCTGACATTCTTTGATATGGTCGACAGTAGACAGATCAGGGAATTGCAGAGGACAGTCTTTTATATCCCTGTCTTTCTCCTTCTCTTGTGGCGCTTTTCCTTTACCTTTCATGGTCTGGTTTATAAAAATACATAAATTAATGCACTGAAGATTTCTCTAAACATGCAAACCTATTTGAAACAAAGATATGAAATTCTATAATGGTTACAATTAGATTTTTCCTAAGAGAAAAAACAACTTGGGAAGTGTGATGGAAACTGAATTATAGTTGATTAAAAAGGACATCCTACTTCACCTGATATTTGTTCTATGCGAATTTTAAATGGTAATTGACAGTTGAATACTAACTAAACTGGTGAATAATTAATATTATTATTTTATTTATTTAAAAATTACTAGATCTTTTAAATTAATGAGACTAGTATAGATTTAATTAGAGTGCATAATGATAATTGATCAGCTCATCTACAACTGACGTTGCAGATATGAGCCTAAAAACTAAACTTAAACCATAATATAAAGTATTATTGATTGGGCATTGGGGCTATTCGACAGTTGGCTGGGAATAGCCCCAATGGCCAATACTGCCCATCCATCAATACGGCGTCTATTCCCAACCGGCCGATTCTAGATCTAGACTAGACTCTATACTAGATCTATATCATCTTCTATACTATATATATAAGTAAGCATATGAAAAACAATAATGAATAAAATATCTATGAAATTGGCAAGAGTTATTCCCCTTCACATCTTTAGAAAAAAGAATAAATCAATCTTACCGGCTACAATTTTTATGCAAACAAAACTAACTTAAATAACATCGTAAAAGTTTTGATAACCTCGCAAAAAGGAGAAGCGCAGCATTCAGATAGCTACAAATCCAATGTAGTAATACCAGTGGTTTTACTCAAACAACTCTTTCCTTATCCCATTTACGATTCTTTCTAATCGGAAGTTTACTAAAAATTTATTTTTTGTGCGCATGCTTAGACTAGAATCAAGAACTTTATTGACTTCATAAATGAAGATGTAGATTTAATAGCAAACAATCAGCTGTAGAATCTAGAGAATCTAGTTCTTGCCGTATTAGTTTGATCTATCAGATCTATAATTTTTTATATCACGATTCAATTCTAGATCTAGACCTAGAAATCTAGATTTAAAATAAATGGAATTTTTTAAAGATAGAATAATAATTTTTGCGTCATCCTCAAGGCTGTTAATTTTAATTTTGCAGGTTAAATAAAATTTAAATAGGGCCTAATCAGGCAGTAAAAGGGCTAATCTTAATTAATTATTATTAATTAATGATTATAGAAATCTATATATATTTTATATAGGGCCTAATTAATAATTAATCTATAATTCTCTTCTTGGAGACTATAGAAAACACCAAGCTGTAAGCGCGCTCCCTACCACCCCCACCTCTACATGGCCTGGTGAGCTGTGGTTCACCCTAAATGTCACTAAATGACTTTATGTTTACAATCATAGAGCCGTGTTTAGCTAGGGGCAGATAATTTAGTTTGAAATGGTTTTAAACTTAGGGGAGGTAACTAAGACGAGGCTGCTTTCACGGGGTGGGGTAGGGGTTGGTGGAAAGGAGGGGGGGTATCGTCCTTAATGACCATCTGATAGTGTTTTAAAGCAAATATTTTCAGTGGCAGCATTGGTACTGTTGAATTCACAAATTATGAATTACTGAAAAGTAGAAAATAAAACAACTTAATAGCGGCGTATTATACGCCGCGGGTCGGCTCGTAATTGATAATCTAATAATTATTAAAATTTTAAAATTAATTATTTATTAACTTTTTAACTTAGGTTAGGCTTTAGTGGCCGCTTTAGGCTAGGGCCTAGCTAATAAAGTAGCTGCAAGCCAAAAACTGGCTAGTGTATGCTGTGTTGATACATCAGGACTCTGGAACTTTACTGTAGTTTGAATTAATTAAATATATAACTCAGGTTTAAGTTTACATTTATTTTTAATTTTTCAGGTTGTTGCTAACAGTTTGTTGCCGGACCATGACGCAGGTGTTTTTTCCCCACCCACGGACAAAAACTCATTCACTTGGTTAGACCATATGGTACATTTTTTCTTTGGTGGCCTGCACAGATGGGACGCTGTCTACTTCACCCACATCATGCAATATGGATATTCTTATGAAAACTGTGCTGCATTTTTTCCATGTTTTCCTATTGTGGTTTCAACCTTGGCTAGAATTTTATCAACTTTAGGAATTTTGCATTTGAGCTCTTGGTTACTTGTGACTGGTGTAGTGTTAAATTATTTTGTATTTGTAGCCACAGTCTTTCTATTGTTTCAATTGGGAAAATCTATCCTAAGAGATGAGGAAGTGTCTTATTACGCTTGTTTATTCTTTTGTATTAACCCAGCCAGCATTTTTATGTCAGCCATATATTCAGAAACTTTATTTGCATTTTTCAACATACTTGCAATGCTTGAATTACACAGGAAGAGAATTTACTGGGCATCTCTATATTTTGGACTTGCAGTTTTTACCAGATCAAATGGAATTGTCAGCATTGGATTTGTTCTGCACACTGTTATCAAGTCCTTGTTGAATGACTTGTATTTCAATCATAAAACATCTCATAGAGAGAGAAAACTAAATCAAGCTTTTAATTATTTGTTATTGCTTAAGAAAACTGCTGTAGAACTTGGCATAAGTCTTTCAATATGTTTTCTTCCATTCTGTTTGTACCAGTATTACATCTACCGTCAGTTTTGTTTACAATCTGATAAATTAAACTTCCTCCCAACCTATATAGTGGATTATGGCAGAGACCAGGGGTACAAACTGATTGGGGACCAGCCATCTCCATGGTGTAATGCTACACTACCACTGTCATACTCTTATATCCAGAAGCACCACTGGAATGTTGGGTTCTTGTCATACTATGAACTGAAGCAGTTACCAAACTTCATGTTGGCCTTGCCCATCATCATACTTTCTGTGAGATCTTGTTTATATTTCTTTGGATTAAATAAAAAACTGTTCTATGGTTTGGGCTTTTGTGACAAGGTAGAGGGGGATCAATCAGTCAGCAGGCCAGGGGAGGTAATCAATGAAGATTGTGTGAACACAACTGTATACACCAGAGTCAAAGATAAACAAAAGATGGCCAGGGATTCTCACTCTGATATCAAAGTATCATCAGAGATTGTTGTGCTTGTGTTTCATTTGGCAAGTCTGCTTTTGTTTGGCTGTTTCTTTATGCATATACAGGTAGGTTACTTAAAGATAATATGTTCTGTGGTACTGTTTATCATCTTGTTACTCTAGCATGTAATGTAATGTAATCACTATGTAACGTTGGAGAGTAAGTTATTATATAGTCATTGGTGTGTTGCAGTCAGCTATATGTGCTGTTTATATTGTTTTCGGTAATGAGCTTTGTTTTATTCTTAGAGAGAGTTTAGTTTTGGTGCATAAGTTATTACAGCAGTTATTGAAACTGAAGTCATGAGTCATGTAAAGAGTAAAACCAACTATACTGATTTACATTAGTACTAAAGGACTTACTGAGAAAAATGTATTCCTGTGCCATTTATTGTGATTTAAAGATTCCTCTTTAGACCTAGTGATCTATTGGCAGGTGAATGATAAAGTAGAGTTTATGTTTCTTGACCTCAGCATGTGAGGGGATAATGTGGTCAGCACTATGCCCAGCCATCCTTACTTTCCCTAATGTGGGTTAGGTACCGAACAGAGCTGGGTGGACTCATTTATGTTCCACTGACTTGAATCCGAATTCGAACTCAAGACTTGTGTTAGAAGTAGTGCACTACTGCTAGATCACACCATCCCATTTATTGTGATTTGGTGCATATCATCATGCTTTTGTTATTAGAATCATTGCTTTCAGTCGACAAAGATATAAATATACACATGCAAAGTGTCATTTGTCTTTTAGATGTATTACTGATTACTGCTATAAAAAAACTAATTGTCTAAATGATTGTATGCAGGTTTTGACGAGGTTGCTGTGTTCATCCAGTCCCCTGCTGTACTGGTATGTGAGTGTCTTATACCTGGGAACCAGTGGCCACCGCACCACAGAGGGGACCTCAGTAAACTGTGATAGTAACATTCACCAGAATAAAACAGGCTTTAATCTTCCTCGTGCCATTGTTTATATATTGAGAGCATTTAAGCTTAATTTTATAATCATTGTTTTCAACAAATGGCATTCTAGTTTACTGGAATTTAAATGTTATTATATTTATTTTCTCACCTATTGTGTTGTTGGTACTGTTATGTTTTCAAATTTTCTCCCTTGGACCTGAACTAAGTTCTGACACAATGTGCTGCTGATCTACGTTGTAATTTAATGGAGCTGATTAAGCTAATGTGTGGCTTGTAGAGTTGACTCTTTTATTGCACTAGTTTTACCGCCCAACACATCCTCTGAATAATGCCAATGGACCAGGCAACAAAATTGGCTTGAACATTGGGTAAGAGTCGCTGTGGTGTGCTCTACTGCTGGACCACTCTCTGTTGATCAACTCTTTCTGCTACAGGGTATCAGAAATGTGCCTATAAAGGTATAAGGTATTTCAACCAAAAATGTGTACGGGTCACTTTTCTAAAGAATGTTATTTGTTTCTTGTTTAAAATGTGATATCCCAATTTCTGCTTTGATTTTGTCATGGTATGTGAGCTGGCTTTTACCCCAGTTTGTATGCTTTGGTTTTTGTTGTTAATTTTAAACATTTTTTTTCCACAAATAAAAAAAAACAACTAATAACAGAAAAATGAAATGTTATAATGAAATGTCATTAAAGTTACATTTGAAATTTAAAAACATTTTCTGTTTGTGTGGTTCATAAGTTAAAGTCAGATTTGAATATCAAGTTCGGTTGTGTAGGCATGGGGGTGAGGCATGGATCCCAACCAGGGGCGTAGCGAGGGGGGGGGGGGGTGCCGACCGCACCGGGTGACCATTTACAGGGGGGTGACACCAAGGGAAAAAAAATAGCAAAATATATAGAGAAAAACTTGAGGGGGGGGGTGCAAATCGAAAACTTGAAAGTTTTTCCCCGGGAAGGGTCGCTACGGGAAGGGTCACCATTAAGTGCCGCACCGGGTGACACCCGACCTCGCTACGCCACTGACCCCAACATACAGGTCTCACATTAAGTTACAGCTATTTGTGATCATTCAAATACATTTCTGTAGGATTTTACATTTTCAAAATTTTGAATGTCATGAACATCATAATTTTTAGGGCTTAAAACTGAAATTACTGTAACTGTAGTAGAACATAAATGAAAAAAAAAAAATCCACCCTCACACAACAACAAAGTGTGGGCTGCAGTGTTTTCCATAAATTAATAATTTTTATAGTCACGTGAATTCCTAGTGATCACGTGAATTTCTATTGATCACGTGAAATTCCTATTGATCACGCAAACACCAGTGAACAAAACAAATTCTGTGCCCCCATGTCATTGAGACAACCTTCCATGTTTTGCAATATACAGCAATTCAAGAATTACGAAATACTGACGTGACGTAGGTGCTTGAATGACGAAAACAATCGTCCGTGTCTCTGTGACGCATGGGCACAACGTGACTTTAGATCTAGTCGACCTCACACGTTCTTTAGGCTGTTGCTGGCTGCTGCTGTTTACAAAACTACCTCCACCAACCAGGCATTCGGCTGTGTCCTGCCATCAGCTCCCATCATTAACATTTAAATTAAAAGCACTGACCTAATGGGCCATAACCCAAGGTATGGGTCTAGACCCCATTCAACCCATGGTGTGGAGTTATGACACCTGGTGCCCAGACCCCAAACAACCCATGACGTGGAACTAGAACCTGGTGCCCAGACCCCCCCCCCCCCACACACACACATTTTCTAGTGCCCGAACCCCAACAAAAATATATCCATTTATTGTAGCCATTATGGTGTTACGCGGTCGCAAATAGCTGACAACCGATGAAGGCCATTGTGACCTTAGGGTGAAACAGTTCGATATTTTTGGTTTGATCGTAGTTAGGTCACAGTGTGTCGATGTATAGGGGAATCGATCTCTACACTACCGTTGTGATGTCCTGGGGTGAAGGACCTCTACACTACCGTTGTGATGTCCTGGGGTGAAGGACCTCTACACTACCGTTGTGATGTCCTGGGGTGAAGGACCTCTACACTACCGTTGTGATGTCCTGGGGTGAAGGACCTCTACACTACCGTTGTGATGTCCTGGGGTGAAGGACCTCTACACTACCGTTGTGATGTCCTGGGGTGAAGGACCTCTACACTACCGTTGTGATGTCCTGGGGTGAAGGACCTCTACACTACCGTTGTGATGTCCTGGGGTGAAGGACCTCTACACTACCGTTGTGATGTCCTGGGGTGAAGGACCTCTACACTACCGTTGTGATGTCCTGGGGTGAAGGACCTCTACACTACCGTTGTGATGTCCTGGGGTGAAGGACCTCTACACTACCGTTGTGATGTCCTGGGGTGAAGGACCTCTACACTACCGTTGTGATGTCCTGGGGTGAAGGACCTCTACACTACCGTTGTGATGTCCTGGGGTGAAGGACCTCTACACTACCGTTGTGATGTCCTGGGGTGAAGGACCTCTACACTACCGTTGTGATGTCCTGGGGTGAAGGACCTCTACACTACCGTTGTGATGTCCTGGGGTGAAGGACCTCTACACTACCGTTGTGATGTCCTGGGGTGAAGGACCTCTACACTACCGTTGTGATGTCCTGGGGTGAAGGACCTCTACACTACCGTTGTGATGTCCTGGGGTGAAGGACCTCTACACTACCGTTGTGATGTCCTGGGGTGAAGGACCTCTACACTACCGTTGTGATGTCCTGGGGTGAAGGACGGTCTATAGGTAGAGTTCACTTGTTTTGTTACCTCGACATATGAAGGGATAGTGTGGTCAGCACTATGCCCAGCCGCCTTTACTTTCCCTAACGTGAGTTAGGTACCCATCTACTGACTTGAACCCGGATTCGAACTCGAGACTTACGGGTTAGCAGTCCAGTTTTCTACCGCTAGACCACTCCAGGAGGATATCTAGTACACTAGTCCTTACTGTAACAAAACGCTAACGGGGAAAACCTATAGGCTATATTACCAAGTGCTGTACTGTTCTGCAGGTGTTTTTGTTTAATTAAAAGGACCGATTTTCTATAAATCTTGATACTATTTGATTCTAGAGTTTGAAAGGTTTGATTGTATTTGCTCCAGTCTGGCGATCAGCCATGTTTCTTGATGTCATTCATGTTTTTGTGATCGTGGCACCGCTGGTAAAAGTACCCCTTTTAATGGCACCAGATTTTTGCTATCTTACTGCACAGTGACACAGATAGAGTAGCACACCTCAGGTCTACTGAAACACGTCCACGAGAGAGGGGCGTGTCACTAGCGGGTTGGGGATTCAATTTTAAGTTTTTATCCAGTCGAGGTAAGTTCTGGGGTATTTATCCAAGTAGAGGTAAGCTCTGGGGTATTTATCCAGTCGAGGTAAGTTCTAGGGTATTTATCCAGTCGAGGTAAGCTCTGGGGTATTTATCCAGTCGAGGTAAGTTCTAGGGTATTTATCCAGTCGAGGTAAGTTTTAGGGTATTTATCCAGTCGAGGTAAGCTCTGGGGTATTTATCCAGTCGAGGTAAGTTCTGGTATTTATCCAGTCGAGGTAAGTTCGAGGGTATTTATCCAGTCGATGTAAGTTCTAGGGTATTTATCCAAGTGGATGTAAGTTCTAGGGTATTTATCCAATTAGGGTAGGTTCTATTGTATTTATCCAAATTGAGGTAAGTTCTATTGTATTTATCCAAGGAGAGGTAAGTTCTAGGGTATTTATCCAAATAGAGGTACGTTGTATTGTATTTATCTAAGTGGAGGTAAGTTCTAATGTAATTATTCAAGTGGGGGTAAGTTCTAGGATATTTATCCAAGTGGAGGTAAACTACTAAATGTATGCGGTTCTTAAATAGAAAATAGTCGAAGGTAGACTATAACTATAAGTGCAAAAATGTCAACT